TGTTGAGTGCAGTTTGACCACATTAGAGAGCTTGATCCAATTGCTGGATGAAAGAGTATTGCTAGCTTTCAAATTGGCAATTTTATACCACTTTCCATCTTCAAAAGCTCTTATTATACAGAAATTCTCTAATAATATTCATCAGACTGCTAGCTTTCCTTTTTTTCCTACTGTACCAGTGAATAATTTGCTAATGATCTTATTTTGCTCTTCAGGGAGCAGGGTTTTCTCAGTCTCCCCAAGAGCAAGGGTGTAATAACTGAAACTGGTGCTACAGTTCAGGAAATGAGTGATTATGAAGTATAAAGAATGTGATTTGGAAGAGCATTTTTTCATGTCCAGGGGAACTAAGTGTATAGTTACTTTCAAAATGTGTCACTGTATCTATTGTATTAAAGTGAGTATTTAGTTTGCAAAAAGGTGCAAGAGAGTTTTTTTCCAGTTGAAAAATGGCAAATATGGAAATAACAAGCAAAAATATGGAAATAACCAGGCTGACTGATTTAAGCTTAAGAAAAATGCACAGGAGAAAAACAGAATCTTTGAAAACCAAATCCTGTGCAATGTAAGTGTGCAATAACAAGTTACCCTTGTAACTTGTTATGCAGCAGTGTGGTGTGTGTGGTATTGCTTTGAGTGCATTCATGAGTTACATCAGGTAGAGAGGGGTCTTCGTGTTCCTGGTGTTCTGTGAATCACACATCTGTGCTCTCAAGACAGTGCGTGAAGAACTGGAACCATAAATCTCCTGCCATGCAGTGCCCTGGAGTGGGAACAGAGCACAGCAGGTGCTGCTGCACAGCTGCCCTCCCGCCTGGCACAAAGGTTCCAGCCACAAACCAGCTTGGTGCTGCTTTCTGTTCCAAACCTGGTTCCTCACATGAGTGGGGTGGCAGATTTTTCATGTGGAATTGTGCTGCTTATTTGAAAAATAGAGAAAATACTGCCTCTGTGATAGTCAGTGGGAGTTGTTCCATAAATTAAGGGCTGGGATTAGACCATTTGCTCTGTAACATAAGATAAAGAGATTTATCTTATCTTTATCTCTCTTTTAGATCCTGGATGGTGATAGCATTCCTTCTTCTGCACCCCCACCCCCCAGCTTCTTATAGCTAGCTGAAGAGGAAAACTTGCAAATACAGAATAAGACTTTTGTCCATCTACTTACAAATGCCACTAGCTCCTAATGAAAAAAAGCACATGCCTCCTCTTCTTGCACTTAAAAATCTTATTTTTTTTCAGAAGTGAAAATAGAAAGCCCTTTCAGTAACTTCCTTCAATAAAGCAGTGTTTCGTTTTTATGCCTTTCTAGTACAGCATCAAACAGAACTTCGTTAGTGTGGTTAGTGTTCCATATAGCCCACTGATATACCATAGCCACTGGCCAAGCAAAACTTCAATCAGTTTTTGTTCTGTTGTCAGCTCACACCTCTGACTGAGCAGCTGCAAGATGATTCATCAGAGGATGTTTCATCAGAGGACAGAAAAGAAAATGATTTCTGCTGTTTTTTCCATACTAATAAGATCATTCCAGTTGTAGATACTTCTACAGCACTTCCTGAGCTATGCTATGCCCATTTGAAAATAGAAATCCTTTTATCCAAATGTCAAGAAAATTTTCCATGAAATCTGTGCTTTGGCTCTGCAAAGTAAGTTCCTGCTGCAATTACTTGTTTAACACAGTTGTGACTTTACCTGAGTTTTGTTCCATTACAGAGAAAGTCTCTGCTAGAGCTAATGCTACACTAAAGAATGTAAATTGGGATATTTAGCATGAAATTTTGTGTGTGAGTAACATCTATATTCTGAAACCTACAACATATGCCATACTTTCCTAACAATTTAGTAGTGAAATTGTTTTTGATTGACTATGTTTGCTGTGATACCATGTAAGGAATAGTGAATTATTCACTACTGGTGCAGAAATGGTTCCGATTGAATGGTTTAGGCAAACAAACTGAGAACAATCTGATGTTTCTTAAAGACTGACGATATGCTTCCAATGATTCCTATTTACAGTAGGCATTCCCACGTAACTCCACTCCACTTTGCATGCAGCTGTAACAAAACTAGAAGAGTATATTTCTTTGCTTATTGGCATCTGTAAAAGCATTTCATCTCAAATAATATTTCTTGTGATATGAGTTTGTCAGCTAGTTCTCAAATAAATACAGAAAAGCTACCTTTCTTGTCAGTTTACCAATACTGGCATGACATTCAAGGCTCGTTTTTCTGAATAATCAGCAAGCAAGAACAGCAGAATATATTCAGTCTGTGCATGCTATACTGTGCTCACAATTATAAAATGTAGAGATTCAGAAATAAATTGCTCTGAAGAGAGGAACATAGCTTTTCTTAAATTCATATCTGTTACTTTACTCTGAATAACACCCTATCCTCCACCTCACTACCAATAAATTCCACTTTCCAGAGGAAGACTGGAGGCAGAGGAAGACACATGCTATCTAGTGTCTTAATATGTGTTATTGAATAACGTTAAAAAGCAGTCTTCATTGATTCTCTGGGGCCTGTGGCTTGGACCACCCCCAGCAAGTTATACTGTGATAAGCAGATGATCCCAGACCTTTAGGTTAACTTACGGTCTGTCCTCCTGGGCAAGTTCCTCCCAGACTGTGTATTCCCCACAGTAAGTGATCTTCTAGAAAGAAATCCCTTCCCTTCCCTTCCCTTCCCTTCCCTTCCCTTCCCTTCCCTTCCCTCCCCTCCCCTTCCCTCTCTCTTAAACCATTTGTGGGCATGTGAGTGAATACCAGAGGATAAAGCACAAACTGCAAACCAACCTCTTCTCTCTACAGCAACATAATTTCCATTGATCTCCCTCTAATCTCTCTAACCCTCTTGAAGTCCTGCTGGCCCCGGTTGCTCACAAGAAAAAGGCTAGAGCTTATACTGAGTTAGGGAGAGACACCCAGAGCAGTTAAAGGTTGCAGGGATTTGGTATTGCTCAGTCCTGCAGCAGGACTACTTACGTGATTATCCTGCACTTCACAGTGGAGTTGAAAATCTTGTGTTTTAAACCAGTAGAGATTAGGACTTAATTTGTGGTACACATAGCAGCAAAAATATGTGCCTAGTGCAGTATTCCGGTAGAGGTGCTGGTCATTTTCATTCTCATAAATACTGATGACGTACACAAGGGGCATCTGGTCAGAAAGGCAGGTGACAGAAAATCAGGCTGATGCAATAACAGAAATTCCTAATGGGATTTCCTCGATTAACTACAGAGCTTTAAAAATCAACACGCTCATATTATGGCAGTGAGGTTACTCCAAGGAGATGACTGTCCTGGCCTTTCAATATGAAAAACTGTGTCAGAGGTTATTCAGCATGTGAATAAAATACCCAGGGCACATAGTGCCTACTTTCCTGCCATATGTAAGAAGAATGTAACTCACCAACAAAGGTTGATACCTTACAGTTTTGTAGGCATCCCCCACAATACTCAACAACTTCCTTTCTTTCAGGTGTGGCATGAAGTGTTTAGGATGGATAAACAAGCCTTTTAAAAAAGCAAACAATGAAACAAACAACAACAAAAACACCTGTATTTTTAGATAGTTTTCATAGGAGAGTAGAGTGAGTATATCTTTGTCACGTACAGTTGTATTCTTAACAAGAGATTTGGGCACTTATTGAAGCTCATGATTAATTTTTCTCATCCATTTTATACTTTATATTTTGAAAGTAACAGATGCCATAAGTGCAAGCTAAGAGGGACTGTGAGCAGCATTTTGGCACATTTACCTGTGGTCACATCAGGTCACATTACATCTCAGTGGTCACATTACATCTCTCCTCTGTAGTTTCATCCCAGAGGACAACTAGGTCAACTGCTGAGGTACTCTTAGGAGTTTGAGTCTAAACTCAAATTGTCATTTTAATTCTCAATTTTAAAGATTCCTGGCTGAATCTTCACTTGGCCAGCATGGTGAGTATATTGAAGGCTTCTTCAATACTCAAATGCATGGAACTTCTTGTTACTGAAGGAAGTGTGTGTGTGTTTTGTCTCCCTCTGCCTATTTTATAGGCACCTCTCAGTCAACTTGCTGTTCAAGTAGATTTTGCATAAAACACATTGATAATATGTTAAATCTGATAATGAAGGTCACATTTTTATCCTTGTTTGATTAAATACTCCTGAAATTCCCTAACTTTTAATTAATTCTGAGACCTGTTCCTTAATATGACTTACTGCTTAACTGAAGTTGTTGGATATGAACATATGACAAAGTTCTCTACTTTACTAAGTACGTGAATTCAGCTGTCTGAAGGATGCCAGCCTATGATGGATTTTGGACCTTGCAAGTGTGTCCAGACATCCATTCCACTGTGGGTCATTACTATAAAGTTTAATCAGTATAAGTTTTTCTTTAAGAAATGAGCATTCCAAAGGAGTTACTGGGTGGAGGAGAAAGTGTTGTGTTTCACCTTCAAGATCTAAGCCTTGGTTTGGAATCCCAGCTGGTCTCTTTGGCAGTGAGAGAGAAGACTGCAGTCAACAATGCTGAGTGTCAGCATTGCTGGTTTAAGCTAGTGAGAAGTTCTTCTGACTGAACAGTAGTGACACTGGGAACATGAACAAGGATGGCAGTAAAGATTTAATGTTTTGATATGGTGCTGGAAATAAGTTTTATCAGGCAGCCTGTACTCAGCAAAAGGGTTCTTCTTATCTTCCTTTCTTCATACTGTGGACAGTTTACACAAATGATGTATTACTGAGCATATACTGTGATGAAATGAGTTGCTAATATATAAACATTAAGTTGGGATTAGCAGAACTCCAGCTAGCAGGGCCAACCTTATTAGCCAAGACCTTCTGTGGGAATGATTCACAATGCTGTAGCAAATAACTCTAGAAATCTAAGTGGCTATAATCAGAATACTTCCATGAAACACCAGAGAAGTTGTTCTTGCATCAGATGCATATAGCAATTTCCTGTATGTGAATTTTCTTCTTTTCTGTTTTTCTTTTGAACCAGACATTGATGAATGCTCCGATGGCTTTGTGCAGTGTGACAGCCGTGCTAATTGCATCAATCTGCCAGGGTGGTACCACTGTGAGTGCAGGGATGGCTACCATGACAATGGGATGTTTTCACCAAATGGAGAATCCTGTGAAGGTCAGTGTCTAAGAAGGTTGGGGTGTTATGACTTGAATTACAGTGGTGTCTGGTATCTCCAGCTATTGTGGACAAATGTTGTCACAGGTACTGTATGTATCAATGACAGTTAAACCTTGAACCAAAGAAATCATAGTCAAAACAAGCATTGTAAGGAAAAGGAAAAAAAAAAAGAATATTCCTAACACTAGGTGGAGGATTACTGGCTATTTCTATGACTTGCTAAGATAATATATATTCAGGCACAGTGCTTAGAACAGTCTCATGGGCCCTACATCTGCTTCTATGCATTAGTGATTTCCCACGGGCTGACAGCATGCATTATAATCTATCACTCCAGGGTGATCTGTTTGTATGTCAGATTCTGAGACAGAAATGAGCGCTAATCCAGACCTCTGTTCTCCTGCTTCACTCCTTGTACACTGAAATAGCATATAATCAAGACACCTCCTGCTACCAAGGATGGTTTTGTGACCCTGACACCCTTACCCACACTCCAGTCAGTACGGGGGTGCTTCTCCTGTGTGGAGACTAACTCCTCTTAGAGAGCTGCAATTTGAAGAAAAGCCTTATAAAATGGAAAGCACAATGGACTTGGAGATGGGGCAAGATATGGGGTATAGGGGATGAAAGGTCGACAGGGACAAGTAGATGGGAAGGTTTCCTTTGTTTATGAACAATGCTGGAGAGAACAGCAGATTAGTACACAGCTATTTTCACACGTGGATTTCTTAGTATGAAAAGTTCTTCCTCTTTTAAAAGCTGCTTTTCTTAAATAAGAGAACAAACCAGTCTGTTTTGCCATGGACTACTTAGGGCAAAATCGGGAGTCTTTCTACCTTGTGGCTGTGAATGCCTAAATATTCAGTGCTCAGTGTAAGCTTTGCCATCTTACTGTTTAAACTCACATTGGTGGGCTGCATCAGTCCCAAAGGGAAAGAATTGAATTAATTTCACTAAGGCAGACACACAGACAGTTCTCAAGCAGTGAGAATGACCTTTTCAGTATCCCCATCATCAATACTTTATTTCAACACATTTTCACCTCAACTGAAAGTCTGATTCCCAGGAGGAATCAGCAATTTCTGCTACGAAAGCAATTACTGCTTTCGTAAGTCCAACTTTCTTTGTCAAGAACTAGCTAAATGTCAGTGTTAGCTGGCCAGGTGTTAAGACAGGAAAGTACAAGGACTTCTGGAGAAGTTGTAATCCCTCTGATCACAACATCACTCTTCTGTCACTTCTGGCATAGGAGCATTATGGCCAGGCATTTATGAGAAAGTTCTATAGCCCAAGCTTTATCTTAACATCAATAAGAAATCTGTCCTGTGGACTGAACATGGTGGCGTGGCATGTGTCATCTCAAGAAATATGAACTAAAGAATGAAGCAGAAAGTATGAAGTTTTTAACAGTATCTCTGTTAAGATGTGCACAAACAAGCAACAATTAAGCAACAATTTCTACTCAAAGGAAAAGCCAAGAAAGAATAACTGCAGAGTGCTACACGTATGTAGAAGGGACAATTATTTAGCATGATTTGCTTTTATAGAATTGAAGTCTGTAACACTGTGTAACACTTAAACAGAAGATAAAACTTGGAGAAGTAGCCTTAAATTTATTACAGTTTGGAAAGCTGAACTTTCAGTAGCAGAGTACAGTAGTGTGAAAGCAATTGCTTTCTCTCTTGTCAGATCTTTCCACAGTGAGATTCCTCTGCTTAAAGACAATCTGGCAATTTCTTGTGTCACTTCTCCAGTATCCCCTATGTTAGAGGTGATTAGACTCAGCGACTGGTGGATGACCTTTCTGACACTCACTGTAACACAGGAATATCCTCCAGGCTGTACTAATCTCAAATTTCAAACCTTGGTTCTCCACTTGCTGCCTTCAGCTGTATGAGCTTCCTGCTGCATCCAGGCCCAGTGTCCTCTACGACCTTCTGGTTCATGCAAGTACCTCAGCTTGGAGAATTGTAGATGGAACGGTGCAGACTTGCAGAGAAGAGGAACTGGTCTCACCTTACTTTCTTAGTGGAACAAAGAATTTAAGCCTCGTGGGTATTAGGAGATATTCTTTGAGAGCTTGTTGATTTAGCTTTCTGGTCAGTCTACTTCAATACAGCGTTTATACAGACTGCATAATAGGCTTGCTGTCTTTGGCTTATCTTCAGTGAATTTTAATTGCTTTGAAGAAAGTTCCCTCTTTCTCTGGAGAAAAACTTCTAAAGCCAAGGAAGTGTGGGCTCAACTATTTTCTTTCTTGATTGTTCTATATGTTCTGCCTCAAATCTGTGTCCGTCTGAGCTCCCTGGATGCTTGTCAATAGTACTACAGAACTCTGTGTACAGAGTTCTGATCACAGAGTTCTGTGATCGGTGTTAGTCACAGTGTTTCCACCAGCAAAGCCTCCAGTTTGAAAGATTCAGATGGAAACATTTCTGCTAGGAAGAGGAGCATTTCCTTAAGAACTTTACTTTAGCTTAACACCCAAACCGCACCTTTCTTTAGGAAATGGTCCAGACAGGACATGCTACTAAAAATTTCTGTCTGGTGATGGAGTCCTTGGTAGCATTAGACTTTATCAATGCCTGAAATAATTGTTGCCAAATTTTGCACATATATTAAGCTTGGCTACCACTGCATCCTTGGCACTACTTAGAATACTGAGTATTTTGACTAATGCTGTACTTGAATTTAGAAATTTATAATCCTATTTCATTTGGTACCTGCAGGCAACAGAAGACCAGGAAATTCCTTTGCTATTAGTTTCACTTCATGTTATACTCCTGGGTAGACCTATAGTCTCAATACCAATTACTGTGAAAAGTGATGGGAAATGCAGATGGGAAATGCAGTAGAGCTTCAGACTCTTAGCAGCATTGATGCTTTTTCCTTTAGAAATATAATTATGTTATATATTATCTTATTTCCAGAAAAGCAGAGAAAGATTAGCCGCTTAGCCTTTGAGAATTGCATGGTTTTGGGAAGTCTTAAATTTTATATATATATGTAAATATAGCATTCATCATGGTATATTACCTAGTGCCCTCCTCCTCACCCCCCTGCAGCTCTTCTTTATAGTTTATTTACTCAGTCATTTTGATGATCTGAAAGTTGTCTCTCATGTACTATTTCATAAAAGAGATGGTAGATATTGCAGCCTCAAGCTTCATTGCATTCAACAACTGAAACCACGGAGGGGCAAATTCTAAAATAAGTACATTTAAGTCAAGTTAACATTTGTGCTGCAGTTCTGTGTAAGATCCTGATTCCTTAGATTTTGTCACCTGCAATGCCTAAAGGCTTCTAAGATCAGCTAGAGAGGCTGTATTGGTTTTGAATCAGAAGTAGTGCAAGTTATACCTCATCAGCTGTTGTACATTTTGCATAATTCCATGTCAGAAGAGTAGCTCACCTAATTAATGAGCTCCTATTGGACTTGCCAAGGGTATCTGGCAGGTACCAGCTGTTTATACAGAATGTAGGAGCAAAATATCTTCACTCTGAGCAGGTATCAAATCCTTTAAATGAGAGAAGGGTGAATGAATGGATTGAAAAGTATTGATCTGGAATGTTCCAGCCAGTTCAAAAAGCATCTTTTTTGTTGCAAGGATTTATCTGCATGTAAACCTGCAGATTAGGATTTCTGTTTTGAAATGTCTCCTTATGTTTAGTACCACTGGTATCCTACTTCCAGTTTAACAGCACAGACTGCCTGTCTGCTTGGAGGGCTGGGTCTCCCCATGGACTGTTTTTTCCACAACACAGAATAATGAGATATGGACGTACACTGCAGGAATAGGATGCTCTCTCTATTCTTCAGCAATGAACAAAATCCAAAATGGTCACTTGGATTTGGAAGAGAGAACAATTGCTGACTTTTGAGATGTCTGAATTCATCTCACAGTACATCCGCTATATTAACTAATGCCTGAGATCTGTGTTTGAGAAACCACTATCAGTTTAGAGACCACACTTAGATTTTTCTACAGTTCTTGTCATGTTTAACAGAAGCTTTGTTATTGAAAGCTCATAAGGAGACAGGAAATAAAGAATCACTTCAGCAGGAAATCTTACTGGAACTCACAAATCAAGAACATCCTTTTGTCTTCCTTCATGGTCACAGAATATCAACTATTAAAACTACAGGGAGGAATTTCATTCCTTCCACCTCAAACAGAACTCTAGGCATTAAGGCTTCGTTTTGGCTTTAGGAACACAATCATCAGCAGAGAGAATGCAGAGCTGGAGACACGTGCGTTTAAATATTCAGGAGTGTGGGCAGAGTATGAAATTGGCAGAATTTCTGAAGTTTTATTAGAGGACTATTAAAACAGAAGACCAGTACATTTTATGAGACAGTGAATTGATCATGTTTACTGTATCAAAACTGGGAAACAACATTTCTGTGAAGCTGGTTTAACCAGCATCTGAATTCTCAGTTCTTCATCTTCCACATCTGCCAAGCTCTCTGACAGCTGGCTGGCATGAAGTTACAAATAAATTATTCATAATTCACTTGCACTTTGAAGAATGGTTGCATCAGTTAATAAATTTATTTGAGATAGACAAGGAGAGAAGCCAAACCTTCTGCTCAGAAGGTTCTTTTTGCCTTAAGCAAAAAGTATCTGGGTATCCTTGCACTATCACCCTGCTGAGGAAGCCATTTTCTCTCAGAGCTGAAGTAACTGAGTGTCTTTCGGATCAAAGAAACTGCCCACCATCCCAACCCATCTTTCAACAGTGTATGTCTCAGTGATCAAGATGTTCATCTTCTCTTTACATACATTTCAGTGATATCAGAGAGATTTTGCCGTGAAGATGTCTGGGGAAATTGTTTTTTTTTTTCCTGTCTTAATGTGAATGCCATGCATTTAAGTCTGGAGGACTCATCTGAGGGGGAAAAGCTGCAGCTTTCCACCAGTTACATCAGAGCATGTCTCTGAGCCCTTTGTCAATACCTAGCAAGGTACACAGTTTCTTTTTTCTTCTAATGCTGC